TGAGAGTTTACACGAAAAGAATTCCTAACGCCTGACTCATGCGGTCTTGATTTTCTCACTGGAATGGGAATATTTGCTTTGCCGAAAATCAGAATTGCCCGTGATTCGTTGAAGCTTCGAATTGAAAGCACCCTGGCTTGGTTTCTCGATATCCAGCTAAGTTGTGATCGTCTCGAAACGTGTCACTCGACATCTGGAAACCAAGACAAAACTCATCTCGGTCAGCGTTAACCGGGTTCATGTAGAAGACGCTTACGCCAAGGCAATTTTCTCAATGATATTTGTTGTTCTAAACAGCGAACCTAACTGACACCGTCTAGCATTCCCATGTGCACATTATGGCAACAGAAGCTAGTGCCATCCAACACCAGCAATACTCCGTAGACAACGATGATAAAGGACGCCACAAATTCTCAGACTGAACGGGCTAAGTTCCAATCCCATGGAGTAGGACGGTACACATTGTGACCCAGTGTACAACGCTTTCGGACCGTGGGAGACTCCCTTCTGACACCATGGATGTCGCAGGTGAAAAAAGGTGGTTCTAGTTGTCGCGATACGTGAACTAATTTCAGCAATCACAAGCCCGTTACTGTTGATGCGTCTGCCAAAGTAGGTGCAATGATCAACTACTTTCATTTCCTCGCTATGAAGAGTCGAGGGGCCATCAAGTGGCTGGTGGTGTTGCAACAATAATGTCGGTGCATATGGATGCCGGGTGTCATCAATTCGATTTGGAGAAGAACAAGATAATTGGAAAGCCAAAGAGCCGCAGAGCGTGTGAATTCATCGAGGCCTGACATTTAGGAGAAAACTCAAGCAACAAACATTTGGAGCAAGATGGAATCTACGAAGGTCTACGGATTAAGTAAACAACTGGCCTCACATAAAAGGGGCCGACAAGGTGTTTACCAGATCAACGAAGGTGAATTCATGAAAGGCTGGCACTGAAAGCAATAATCACTCGGATCTGGCGGTGGCTTATGAGGTTCGGCGAATAAGACTTTGAAAGCCACACTGATGATGTTGACTAGTTTGGTAACGAAACGTCTGCAACTAAAAATACCCAGCTCAGAGAATAACGCAACACTCTCAATAACACGTTGGAAGTGCGAATGACATACAAAAAGTGGGAACACTATAAAGTTTATGCGGGGTTAAATGTAACAGCCAGTAACTGTTAAAGTGAAAAAACGGCCCGTGCAATCATAACCAAGTAGTTTTTCATCAAGCAGCAACTTAAAACCGGCGTCGTGCGACTTCGCAAGGGGACAATCCACAAAGGACATGGCGAAGAACCGCTTGTCTTACCTCCCTAACCACGACCTCACACCCGATGCGTAATATGATACTAAACATCATCGTATTTTTGGTTTTTACGTTGTATTACGTACAGCTCTATAGCTCGCCGTTTTCATATACATTTGTAGCACAGCTAATGTGTAATGACGACAACGATGGTGATGATGGAGTTCACGGCGAAGTTGGACAGAAATGGGGAGATGGGATAACCCTGACGAACATCAGTTGTCAGAGAATTATTTGACGATTCACCATAGAAACTGGAGCGAACTGCTGTCTCAGTGAATAAAACTAGAATGTTCGCATATTTAACGGGAACGCCTTGTTTTATCTGTCTGATATAAGATGGCGAAAGGCTCGAGGTGGACAAAAGCTGACTTCGCGGCCGGAAACAAAGTCACCAACGGAGATACTTGGTGCCGTTGATCCGTTTCGCCTTCCAGATTGAAGTCCACGCGACTTGCCTTCTGCTTAGCTCGAGACTTTACAGGACATGAACCGCATTCGGCATCAGTAGCGCGTCTGTTGTCAACGCATAGTCGGCACGACTGTTTTAAGTGCGGTTGGTGGAATTATCTACAGGGTAATGGCTGATTATGATGCGTGGCAATGAAAACTGCAAGGAAGCTCTCTCGCCGATGCCACTTTATCTTTGCACGATAGCCAGTTATTTGTGACGAAATGGTGTTGAGAAAGTGTAGGCACCTTGACCCTGAGTGTTTGCATAGGGCATTAAGGTTTTCCTGTAAGTCCCCTTTCCCTTTTATTATTATTCTTGTCATAGGTCGTTGTGGTGGCATAGCAGCGGAGTACCAGTTCAAATGGCTGATGTGCTGCTGTTGATGATGATAAAAAGGTGACACAACTATGGTCGACATGCAATACATGTGACTCTGTTTAGCACCTACCTGGCTTATACGGCTTTATGGCTGACGGAAAGCTACCCGCTTTTCCCTAATCCGGCATCTCCGCTACGCAGTAATACGACAAACGAAAATGGAGGTCAGTAGCAGCGTTACTACTGGTGTCAGAGTGATGCCAAAGTGGTCAGCAAAGACCGCGTATCAATCCTTCCTAGATGATGCCATTACAATCAACCCTTTCTTGTTCGAACGAGTGTGTCGGTGGTTTGTAGTGGGCCTCATCATCGTCTGATGCAACTCAAAGGTCACTGATTCGAATCTGTGCAGGTGCGATCGACATCGCAATATCCTTAAACCGTTAATGCGGCTCATGGACGTACTGATGATTGCTGCATGGGAATCCGGATCAGAAATGAGAAAGTGATTGAGGGCTGTGATCGCAGTTCGGACCTCAGCCTCCGACTTGGTCTCTAAACTAACCCGCAATGGATCTGCCTGCATTACCTGATTAGTAAGATACACAACAGCAGGGGGTAAAATGAAATGCCAGACGACGTCCCCGTCTGCAAATTAGGATACACGCGTTGCCCTTGATTGTCTCACTGATGTACAGATTGCTGGAACCAGTGACGGGGATGAAATGGAAGAGTTCGCGATAACTGACCACCGCCACCGTCCCCACTATTCCGCGAGTCTTTTTGGTACACCAGGTTTCCATGTAAGCACACAGGCTCCGCTCCAACTCTCGCCTAATAGCGCGCATGTTCAAACCAACAGGGAATTTTCACGGGGATTCGAATAGATTCATAGACCTCTAGGAGATCCTGTGGCTGGTGCGATGAGGTCTGATCGTGACATGAGCAGAGGACCCCGTGCCGTGAAACGCGACTGAGACACTATTTCACTGAAGCACAATTTCTTTAGAGCTGTGCTTGAGTGAGGGTTGAAAATACGTTTTACCTGACAATCCAGGAAACCGGTTGAAAAAAAACTCGACAACAAACCATGGTATGATCAGAGGCGACGCATGTATTCCAGAAACGGTGGTAATCCAAGATGGTTCGTATCACTTACGGTGATGTAGCCTATTTGAGTTCATCGTTGGCCAGTCATCGAAAGATGCTAAGTGGCATATCGGTGCCCACTGTACCAAAAAGCCGTACTGCAAAGAAACATCCAGTACTCGAAACACAGTTGCAACAAACCCTCCCCTAGTTGAGCTCCTGATGAGCGCAGATGACTCACTGATGTAGTCATATCCCCTGTAAGTAGAAAGATAACTGAACTATTAGCACTGTGAAGTAGTGTATTGAGCTAGTGGTAAGAAGAGTCCACTACAGTTTCCGGGCTGTGGTTAGAGAGGGCATAATCGACAATAACAAAAAGTTAGGGAATAACGCTGCTTAAGGCGCTAATATTGTTTTTTTGTGCCAAAAGGCTATTTACGCAAATTCACCCAACTAGCGATGGCTTAGCCTTGGGGCTGAGAACGATTCCCAACCTAATTTGACCTGTGGCTGCTTTATCAGTGTTTCTGATTGGTTGCAACTATTAGTGCGAGGACAGTCTGGACTCCGTCAGCTCGGAAGCCGCGTGAGGATCATTAATTCAAAGTTGAGACACATAGCAGGTTCCAACACTCAGTGCGCTCAAATGCCATCTGTCGGCGTACGTTGAACGTAGCCAGAAAAACAACAGAGCGTGAGATGATAAGGGGATGTCTATGACATGAGTCCAAAGGGTGTTGATAGAAGGTGGCTGTAGATAGCAAAACGACAAATGGTACAGCAAGTGCTGCCAATTAAGTTGGGAATTATAAAAGGATGGTTAGTAATTGGGGTCAAGAGAAGCAGGTGGAAAAGAGAAGCATCAGCACTAGCCTATCTTCGCTTATCCGCCGTACTGTACGCATCAGATAAAGCGACCGTTTATAAACTGGAATGTATCTCACTCCAGTTCCAAGCCCCAAACAGGAGACTAAGTTAGTTTTATCTCTGACCAATAATCAATTTCGCAGGGCTGGCTTTTACAGGAGGGTACCGCACAATACAAGTAAAAGAGTAAGGATAAGCACAAACCGTCGAATAACGTTAAGGCCCAGTCACGTCGCCACGGAGTGCAGCGAGAGAAAAGGGTAACAGTAATAATAGACAAAGAAAATCAGTATTGCAGGAATGTAGCGCATCAGGTACACTAGCGAACAGTATAGAATACATCGGAGAACATGTTAAATACAGAGCGATTCAGTACATCCCAACAAACAAGCTGTTATCCCAGTGAAGAAATGCGGCATATTCAGTCGTCACAACTCGGGGTTCTAAGGCGGGTAGCGAAAAAAATAAGGGGCCATAGGAAGAACAAATAAACGCAAGAAGGATTTCATGGGAGAGTGATTAGAAGAAAAGCGGTAAGAATTGTAAGATAGTATAAAACAGCTCCATTATTCGTGAGATTGGGTCATGCCGGAGGTAGCATACCTCGAGGCCTCTATCTAGGAACGCGGGATGTATCAGGTCGGCTAAGCTTCTTCCGGCAATGCCATCAGTTGCCTGCCCGAAGACAGCCCAACAAATATCAGCAGTAAATCGGTACACCATACCGACGCTTCGCTAACATTCAACCACTGCCAGTCGCGCATGGGCCAAGGACAATGCGATGGTTGCTCAGTATCCTACGCAGGCTCAAACTGGTAACGTCCAGGTTGCAAGGAAGACGTCTAGTCACTTCGGCTATCGGCCTCGTCTGGTCCTCAACAGGAATAAGGACAGATTTTAAAGCACAGTCCTAAAACAAAATAGTGTACAGAAAAGGAACAAAGCGGCACCCAGTACTTACTTAATCATCTTGATCGTTTTGATTCCTTTCAAATTTTTGATGTGCGCTTTGTTCAACTTGACGGTCACATCTTCATCCTGTGGTGAAACAAAGCAATTATAAAACACAGGGTAGCGAAGAGTACTCTTTTCGATAAATCTCATCAGGCGTTTACAATTATAAAATAGAAAGTTGGAGCGGGATAGGCTGGTGAAGCGCGACAAAGGTTAGCGATTCAAAGCGAGGCAGAAGGTCAGCTGTCCTAATCGATAAATTGGTCGATCCACTGAAGCTGCGGCTACCACAGTATACGTAGGCGGACATAGATACCCACATACAGACACACACGTATGCTCACGAGGCATATGACGTGCTTCTCAACTGATTGGGTGACGCACTCATCACCCGGTGGTTGTCAGCGTATGAAGTGGAAGCTGTTTGGAAGTGTGTTAGCCCCAGGGCAGAAGAAGCGCTTGAATAAGCGCTCTCTGTTTGCATAGCTCAGGTTGTGTAAGCCTAATCGCAATGGCTTCGGCCGTCCGTAACATTCGTTTCCTCAGCCCCTTGGGGTAGCGTTTTGAGACCACATAAAACACTTTGAAAGCATCCGTAGCCTTAATTTGATGTCCACTGTCGACCAAATGTTCTAGGATAGAACTCTTGATGCAACCAATAGTACCTTTCTGCAATGCCGTGGGACAGTGCTCCGACATCCGTTTCGACAGACGCCTAGTCGTATGTCCGATGTACTTCACACCACAGGTGCAAGTAAATTGATATAGAATATAAGATTCGGACTGGACCGGGAGTCTGTCTTTTAGACGTTGGGCAACAAACGGCATAGTTTCAGCAATGATGTGTGGATAGGCAGCTGGAAACGTTCGAGCTACTGCAGCGGAAAGTCTTTTGTTCAGCAAATCGAAAGCAATATCTCCCTTAAAGGGAACTGATAGAAACACATCTTTCTTGGGGACAGTTGTAAACAATTCATGATGAGCATGAATCACTGCGTGCTTTTGGATGAAGTGAGCTGGATAACCGTTTACTTGTAGCGTTTGGAAAATACGGTTCTTTTCGGCCTCCAGGGTCTCTGGGCTACATATTTTGGCCGCACGAAAGTACAGGCAACGAACGAGGTTCCGTTTGTACTTCAAGGGCACAAAACTGCGAAAATGCGTGTATTGACCGACCCACGTCGTTTTCCGAAACACACTTCTTTCTAGTGAACCGTCTTCTTTTCTCCTTAGTAAAACGTCTAAGAAGGCCAGTTTACCATCACTCTCGATTTCACTGGTGAACTTCAAAGATGGGTGTACACTGTTTAAGCGGTTCAACAAGCTGGAAACATCGGTGTTTGAATCACAGACTACAAAAGTGTCATCCATGTATCGACAATAGAAATCGAATGAAGAGATTGTGGATTTTATAGGTCCATGTTCGAGCATAGCAAGGAAAACGTCGGCAAGAAGAGGTCCGAGAGGAGACCCCATCGCGACTCCGTCGATCTGTCTGTAGTAGATGCCATCAAATAAAAACTGTCTATTGAAAGTACATCGTAAGATCAATTCCTTCAGTTTCGGCACTGGGATACCCACGTTTATGTTCCTTTGGTTTAAGTAATCACAAATAAAGTTAACCGTCTCTATCAGCGGAACGTTCGTAAAAAGTGATTCAACGTCGAAAGAGAGCATCAATTTACCATTTACTCTCATACATTCGACTTGTTTCACAAATTCGAATGTGTCTTTCACAGTGTGAGTGCATAACTCGCGGCGTACCGGTTCCAGCAGATCCACAATCCATTTCGCAACGGAGTGAAAAGCAGAGGTCGACATGTCAATTATCGGACGAAGAGGAACCTGTGGTTTGTGTACTTTAGGTAGTCCGTAAAGTCTGGGGGGATGTGAACCAAGTCGTGTGAAACAAGTCGAATGTATGAGAGTAAATGGTAAATTGATGCTCTCTTTCGACGTTGAATCACTTTTTACGAACGTTCCGCTGATAGAGACGGTTAACTTTATTTGTGATTACTTAAACCAAAGGAACATAAACGTGGGTATCCCAGTGCCGAAACTGAAGGAATTGATCTTACGATGTACTTTCAATAGACAGTTTTTATTTGATGGCATCTACTACAGACAGATCGACGGAGTCGCGATGGGGTCTCCTCTCGGACCTCTTCTTGCCGACGTTTTCCTTGCTATGCTCGAACATGGACCTATAAAATCCACAATCTCTTCATTCGATTTCTATTGTCGATACATGGATGACACTTTTGTAGTCTGTGATTCAAACACCGATGTTTCCAGCTTGTTGAACCGCTTAAACAGTGTACACCCATCTTTGAAGTTCACCAGTGAAATCGAGAGTGATGGTAAACTGGCCTTCTTAGACGTTTTACTAAGGAGAAAAGAAGACGGTTCACTAGAAAGAAGTGTGTTTCGGAAAACGACGTGGGTCGGTCAATACACGCATTTTCGCAGTTTTGTGCCCTTGAAGTACAAACGGAACCTCGTTCGTTGCCTGTACTTTCGTGCGGCCAAAATATGTAGCCCAGAGACCCTGGAGGCCGAAAAGAACCGTATTTTCCAAACGCTACAAGTAAACGGTTATCCAGCTCACTTCATCCAAAAGCACGCAGTGATTCATGCTCATCATGAATTGTTTACAACTGTCCCCAAGAAAGATGTGTTTCTATCAGTTCCCTTTAAGGGAGATATTGCTTTCGATTTGCTGAACAAAAGACTTTCCGCTGCAGTAGCTCGAACGTTTCCAGCTGCCTATCCACACATCATTGCTGAAACTATGCCGTTTGTTGCCCAACGTCTAAAAGACAGACTCCCGGTCCAGTCCGAATCTTATATTCTATATCAATTTACTTGCACCTGTGGTGTGAAGTACATCGGACATACGACTAGGCGTCTGTCTAAACGGATGTCGGAGCACTGTCCCACGGCATTGCAGAAAGGTACTATTGGTTGCATCAAGAGTTCTATCCTAGAACATTTGGTCGACAGTGGACATCAAATTAAGGCTACGGATGCTTTCAAAGTGTTTTATGTGGTCCCAAAACGCTACCCCAAGGGGCTGAGGAAACGAATGTTACGGACGGCCGAAGCCATTGCGATTAGGCTTACACAACCTGAGCTATGCAAACAGAGAGCGCTTATTCAAGCGCTTCTTCTGCCCTGGGGCTAACACACTTCCAAACAGCTTCCACTTCATACGCTGACAACCACCGGGTGATGAGTGCGTCACCCAATCAGTTGAGAAGCACGTCATATGCCTCGTGAGCATACGTGTGTGTCTGTATGTGGGTATCTATGTCCGCCTACGTATACTGTGGTAGCCGCAGCTTCAGTGGATCGACCAATTTATCGATTAGGACAGCTGACCTTCTGCCTCGCTTTGAATCGCTAACCTTTGTCGCGCTTCACCAGCCTATCCCGCTCCAACTTTCTATTTTATAATTGTAAACGCCTGATGAGATTTATCGAAAAGAGTACTCTTCGCTACCCTGTGTTTTATTAATTCCATGGGTATAATATTCGAGTTAAAGCAATTATAGTAATGTTACACTACTACTCAGTAGTATAACAAATAAGCAATTTAAAGGAGGGTGTCGGAAACAGACTATGTTGTGATGCCGACAGATAACAACGGTGAGGAGGCTGATGGTAGAAGAGGAGTTATTCAGTGGGCCGAAATACTGTTAGTGAACGACGATTAAAGTCCCCAACCGAAGGGTCTGACTCCGATCGCAAGGCTGCGAGACCATAGTAATAGTCCATAATGGAGGTCTTTCCTTACAAAAATGGGTGCCAACCCAGTTTCCATCACCAACTTGGAGGACCAGGAGACTGAGTTTGGCTGACCCAAAACTACTGCTGCAGAGACACCTTACCAAGTGATCGAGGATACGTTCCAACAGGGCTCAGTGAAACGAACAGGTGCGCAAATTGTCGGACCAAGATAAGGTTAAGTCTTGCTGCAAAGAAAATGAGAGGAACAAAAGCCGACTGAAAATATTGTAAAAATGCTATAGCTGTGAAATAGAAAAATAGCGCAAAAAGAAAGCGATCGAATGTAGAGATGTTATGGAACACCAGGATAGATACACGTCTTTTCATAGGGTACTTTCTTATTTGGTTGGTTTCAAGGTCGGCAGCATTGAACAAAGGTGCACAAAGGTCTTCCAGTGATTCCAGGTGCGCGTTATATCCTCAAGCGTTTCAAATCATCGACATTACCTGTCACTGGATCAACAGATGCATGGATCCAACAGTGATTGGACGTGAAGTCAGCGAGTTCATGTAATGTCCCTGAGTGGAAGACCGATCATCATGCGGTCTCTTCTGGGTCGATCTTGCAAGAAAGAATAGGGTGCGGTACGGTAAACGCTCGGGTGCCATGCGTAGGATGTAAAGGAACCAATTTGTTTGGCATGGCAAAACTGTGTTCAAAAAGTAACTGAACTTTTGAAGTAACGCACTAACAGACAGAGGAAACGCACTGCGGCTAATGAGCGCACGCAGAGGCTTGTTTAGACAACAAGCTGCCAAGCGTACAGGGAGGACTGTATGAGTCGCACCTAGTGCTATAAATGGTTTACGTGTTTTGAACACGGCAGATTGCGGATCGCTGAAGATCCCTGGACGATCTACCACATAAACAGACAATAATCATGTTGAGACAGTTGGTGCTGTGGTCCGGGGAAATCGTCATTCAACTATTCGAGAAGCCGTTGACGATCATGCCATCGAATTGGTGTGACCCATCTGAGACGCGTCGTGCCAGTGCAAAATTCGTGTCGCGTTTGTTCACTGGTACTCAGAAACAAAATCGTGTTGCAGTCAGCCAAAACTGCTTGCCACCGACAATAAGAATAATAACCTTCCTTAGAACCATAACAGGCAATGAGATGTGGGTTTACGACTATGCTATTGAAACGAAGGTGCAGTCGTCGCAGTGGATGGGAAAAGAATCTCCTCGTCCAAAAAGGAAGCATCAGTCGGTCAAAGATCAAGGTGGTGTTGCTTGTTTTTTGACTGCAAAGTCATCGTTCCTAAGGAACTTGTACCACGTAGTTAGAAAGTAAATAAGGAAGTAGATTAAGGAATTCTAGTACATCAGAGGTATGCTGTGCGCAGGAAGAGACTTGAACTGTGGGAAAACCAGACTTGGATGTCGCGGGCAGAAGCAGTTCTACTTGTTCGCAGTTACCTAGCAAAACAACAAACTCGCATTGTGCCTCGTCCATAGTATTAGCTGAGCCAAGCCCTAGCGGACTTTTCCGTTTCCCACACGCAAAGCAACGTTGAAAGGACGTCGTTTCTAACCCATAGAGCTTGAAGATAATGTGACAAGAGACCCGCGCCATACCAGAAACTAGGAGCATCGTTGGGAGTGATGTATTACCAGTAGAGGGGAGTACATTGAGCGGGACCGCGCTTAAAATGCACAATAGAAATGTCGTAGCCAAAAGCCGGGTTCATTTTTAACACAGCTCGTATTCCCCAAGATGTGACATACAATTTCCTGACTGTGAACTCGGTGCTGTTACTATGCACAAACGATCGTTTCCAAACACCCATTTAAAAATCAGCGCATGCTGTCCAATTGAATCGCTCGGTAACATTGGGACATTCTCCCTCCGGCATGGTAGGTGGCCGTACGGATTGAGCACGTGCTCGTTCACACGGAGCTTGAAGAAGCCGATGGAAACAATGAAAGGTGGATTACTGATGAGGTCCAACAATGACCAGATGGCATTTGTCCTGTAAAAAGTGAAGATGTACCGGGAAATCATCATTTCAGCGATTAATCGGTTGGTACTGATTCTCGTGTCGGCTTCGAACATTCTGGTATTTTCCAACACCACACGTGAAGTCACAACATCGAGGATTGACTAAATCGGCATGGAACTGCCCCTTGTAATAGTTGCCCCTTCTGTTCTAGAAACCGAAGGTCATTAGACGACCATGGCCAATGTCTACCTCAGTTGTATCGCGTATTGGGTAACGTTTCGATAGACATACCATTTTGTCAAGGTTACTTGATTTCTGATTATTCCTTTCGGCTGGGACTTGAGTAGTTTATTCGGAATAGCAAATAAACTGGAAGACCCAACAGTTCAGTTAAACAACCACAGATGGAGTGTCGAATTCCGGTGAACGCAGTCAACGTGACTTGCGTCACAATGAGTATAGTAATTGGAGATAGTGAAGAGAAATCGGAGTAGAAAATCCTACTCAGTGATAAGGGACAGACGGACGAACGGTCAGGAGCAAGAGATCGAATGTAACGGTATTACTAGTTTTGCGACAATGCCAGTCAGCCTTGTATCCCTGTGTACACCCAAACAAAGTAATCTGGATCCATAGGTGATAGCATCTAGTATATGATCAGAGAAGGCACAGAATCGGAGCTAACAACGCCCAGTGACAAATGCAAAACAAGGAGACGTAATTAACAACAAAAAAACCGACGCTATTGTACCTTAGCTTCTAAGCCGAGGTAATGTTTAACACGAAAAGGGTAGATTTCGACATTGACATGAATAACTGAATAATTGAATCCACTAAGCGAGTGTTTCACCTAACAGAGGACGATTCGACAAGACAATGGAAAATAGAAGCAAGCGTATAAGCCAACAGTATCACAGCAGCGTTTGAAGATAGATGCCATGGAATGTTACACATCTTACCGGAAGAAAACAAACAATGATGTGCGAGACCCGCTATGTGAAGTACTGGTAGCACCACTAATCGAGCGAAAGTAACGCGTCGTATGTAAACGAAGATATAAGTGCATGTAGTACGTACCAATGGATTGTATACAAGAAAGTTCTGTACCATAAGGCTTTCATATATTCGGTGCGCATAGACCATTGTGCCCGAGGAGACACATAGTTCATTCTGAAGCAGAGAAGGCCGGGAAATGAGAGTACCGCAAAGCAGTATAGTATATTCAAGTACTTTGCGCCGATAAAAGAAGACAATCATTTGCGTTTCACACGTGCATTAAATTCCAGGTCACTAAAGGACTGTGATCTTAATGAAAATCCGTCAAAGATGGAACGAAATCTTGAGAGGGTGACAACCAAAAAGTTGTGGTATTGGAGTTCTGCGACCGTCAGATTGCCTTTGGTGGAAATAAACTTCCAACTAAAAATAAAACTCATCAGTCTGAAATTTCGGGTGCCCACTGCCCCTCAATTGGTAACCAATTGCATACGGTACAACCCTTCGCAGTCCGTCAATAAAGGTAACAGCCAAGAAAAGGAAAGTAAACTAAAACATTACGAGGTCATAGATTCATGTGAAAAAACGCGTGGGAAGAAAAAGGAGGAGTATCAGTGTGTGCAAGACTCATGGATGAGTAGGGAAAAAGAAAAGGGGTAGAATAAGAGAGCCAATAGTAAAAGGTCGGCTTCTAATGATAAGCTGTTCTAGTTAGTAAAAAGCCCTTGAAGACGCACATTAAAATCGGTTGCAAGAATGCCGGATGAAGGCAATGTATGAAATCAGGATCGTAATAATAAGTGGGTATTATAACCGAGAGGACGCGAAACATACGAAAGAAAAAGCACGTCTCGACATGGTTAAAGTAACAAAGAGAATGCGAATGGTTTCACCGCGCAGATGTACGGTAGCTGCAGATCGTTGTAGTTAGTCGGCTACGATTCAAGCAGCGAGATTCGGTGGATCCAGTAGTCGTGCTCTGTGCCCTAAGATAGTTGAAAAAACGCAGACTGGGGAAACTAGCAAACTCATGGGCAAAGATCTAGAGGAGCGGGGTCGAAAATTGACTACTTATGGATAGTAAAAGTAAGGCAAGAGTAAACAGACACAGTCACTGAGCCATCCTCGGTGTGGCGTGTAAACACCGACTTGGCCCATCTCAGAGCCTCCACGCAGGAAGACAAAATTTACCAACCCGACTGAACCATTTGATCAGCTTGGTCAAGGGTGCAAGGGGGATCAAGGTGTGGAGGCTCAGACAGTTGACTTGCAACCGATGTGTTCAAGAATTGTGTTCTAGCTGATGTGTAGGTGCGACATCCTGCAAGTATCCCAGCTTGTACACAACTTCATGTGGTTGCGTGGAGGGGAATCAATAGTGCAGTTAAACAACTATGATCAGGGCATTGAAATGTGGTGGAGCTAATTGTCACGGCCAGCTTCATCAGGATGACAATAAGCAACAGTGAAGGAAAGTAAGCAGAATACAAAGAAAAAAGGATTAATAGCATGTAAGTAAAACTGATCGCGGTGGGATGTAAAAAGTGGATGCTGTAGCACCAATGACTACGCGACTGCACCATGTCCGACAACGTTTCCGACAATTGATATAGCTCATCCCGAGGCCCCGATTTCCGAAAATAGTACGCACCAGCCTGACTAAGTCCCGAAATCAATTTCATGTTACATCATCGACTAGTCAATCTCTGTGAATGCATCGCGATTGTGATTTGAAAGCACTTGCCACACTTGGATTATGTTATTTGTCCCTCCTGCACGCACTTGTCTTGCAGATGCGTCTCTCATGACAGAGTCCATACCACTTGACGCGTACGTGGTGTTATGTAAGCGCCCAAATGTGACTTGGTTCGCCGAAACTGACGTTTGTGTTCCGCTTATACAGTCTCAAGCACGGTGGTTTGTATCCTGATTGTCCGCATCGTAAGGATTGGGTTGTTTCTGTGCCGAGCGGATATTGTTTAGCATTCTCAGTACTGCTACTTAGGTTCATTCAAATGGTACATTAGTTTACTTCGGCTTTGTTTTGGCTTCAAGTGAGAGTTCGAGGCGTTGTTTAAAAAGCCAAAGCGAATTTACAGTTGGAAGAAAATGATAGGAAGTACCCCTAGAATTAGTGGTGGATGGCATCGAAAACCTAATTTCTGGTTATAAGGATAGGGCGGTTGCTGCAATCATGCGAAAATCAACCAGTGAGCGTGCCTTGCACACTAACCTAAAGTCTGAATCAGATTTTCTGTAGAGGCTAGTGCCATGGGGCCCCAAAACGCTGACTGAACATGGTAAACATCAAGCAAGGACGCATTCTAATATAACAGTAAAACTGCAGCACGTCGGCCGACCTCGTTTTCTAAAACCTCTTACGATGCATCGTCCGTGATCTCACGCCCTTCACCCATTGTGCACACAACACTAGCGAGTCACGCAAATGGATGGATAAGAAGCAGTCTTGTACTCCAAGAATTCAGTGCTCCCACCGACTGCAGTTCTGATGCTGCCAAAGACACAATCTATCACGAACTCAACACGCTACTACGCAGTGCTACCAGATCAGATGGCATAGTACTTGTAAGTAATATAAATGTACAAGCAGGTCGCCTGGGCTCTTCAAAAGCTCTGACAAAGAGTCATCGAAACGACCGTTGATGGATGACAAGGACCCGTGAGGGTGAGAAAGCCAGTGCAATTTGGAACAGCCGAGTGCTATTCCAGCTCATCCGGAACACGGGATTGAGAAATCCATCAGCTATCAAGACAACAGCTGAGAAAAAGAAAGGCAACAGCAATACGCCGGTACGCAGTACCGACGCTTGGCTGTCGCCGGACACACGTGGGCTACGGATACTGTGAGGATTGCCCTGCCGCTACGCAGGCTCGAACTTGCGCCGTCAGATTACAAGACAAGCTCGTCACCTTTAGGTTACGAGCCGGCAAGTATAGGCTTAACTCCCACAGTACGGACAAGGGCAAGCGACTTCTGCAACTATGTGCGGAGCACCAGCCGTTTCTTAGTAGCACTGCTTTTAGACACAGTGGGTACCGAAGTGCCACTTAGCGTCCTCCTATAGCTGGCCAGTGATGGACCCAAATCGCTCACACTGCCAGAAGTTACAGGTGGCGTGGTTCCATACGGGATTATCGCTCTTTCTGGAGTACTTGTGTCGAGTCTGATCATGTTTTTCTATGCTCTCATTTTTCCATGGACTTTACCGCCTCCTCCGATTAGCAACTTAGAAATTAGCCCAGCTCTCCATCAGACAAGCTTACCGGGATCCACTGAGTATCGAACGTTCACTCCCATGTCCTAATGACACCGAGCTTCAATGGAATAGGATCTCAGTCATTAGGAAAGACACAGAGACATCTGCTTGTGGTATCATCAATTGTCAGCGCACCATTAACTGGATATGCGAGAGATCGGTGAAAGTTTTGTAATCTATAAGAAATCTCCGGCTGGTTCTGAATACAAGGTGAAAAGACGGACTATTAGGCGAAGAATGAAGCAGAACCTGTGCGCTGACAAGGAAGCCTGGTGGACCAGTCGGGCTCAAGAAATGGAAGAGGCAGGAGCGATAGGGAATTATAGCAAGTTCCTTCAGCTGATCCGTACTGATGATCGTAGGAAATCAGCTGTCAGTGAGACAATCAGAGACAGTGTGGGTACTCTGCTTCACAATAAGGAGTGACGTATAGCTCCTTGAGCGGAACAATTCCAAGATCAGTTCAGCTGGCCCCTTGCTACAGGACCTCTTCCTACTCAGGTGATGTAGAGTAAGTCATGGACAGTTGGTTTAGAGCCTCCGTCGGAGGCTGATGTCCGAAAAGCAATCACAGCCCAAAATCGTTTTCGTGCTCCTGGCCCGGATTTCCTCCCACATGCACCATTTAGGAATGGAGGTGAAATCCTCTACAGAGCATTGACCTCCCTGTTTGACCATGTATGGAAGGAGGAGACCGTTCCGGCGAATTAGAGTGAATGGATTATAGCGGTAATATACAAGAAGAGCAGTCGTACAGACTGCTAACCATAGGGCTATAAGCCTAACGCGCGCGGTGACAAAATTACTGCCCTCAGTTCTCGTTCGTCGCCTCACTGCGGAACCGAGATCCCGGATTTAGGAACAGCAGACAGTTTTCCACCCTGGACGTAACCGTATAGACCACATATTCACTCTGGGGCAAATGCTACAGTAGCGCCACGCACACCGCATACCGAAAATAGCTGTATTCCTCGATTTCAAGAGTGCGTTCGATTCAGTCGATCGATCCATTCTGTGCGAAATACTTGCGCTGAATGGTGTTCCCATGAAATATGTGAACATTTTACGTGCGCTATACTCAAAAACTATGGATCGCGTCAGATATCTTTCCGACAACAAGTGGCGTTCGTCAGGGTTGCCCAATTACCCCATTTTCGTTTAACTCCGTCGTGGACTCCATCATGGACTGTGCCCTTGCGGAGTCTCACGATGTTGCCTGGTGAAAGGTTAGTTGATCTAGTTTATGCGGACAATATCGTTTTGCTGTCCAACGATGTTGGGGCATCAAAAGCAACCTGTCTAGAGTAGCCTGTTTAGAGTAGCCTCATTATTTGGTAAGCGCTTCGCACGATCAAAGTGCAAAGTGTTGCTGCAGGACCACCAGCACTTGATGACACCTTGATCCTTGATCAATTCACCTACGTTGGCAGCTGCATCAGCTACAATGGTTACATAATGACTGAAGGCAATTCACGTATTGCAAAAGCCAGAACTAGCTTCTTGAATCTGCGACATCTTTGGCGACAGAAAAGCTGCCCGTCCGTTAAAAAGACCGTGTTTACAAGGCCACAGTGAGGGCCGTCCTATTCCATGACAGTGAGACTTGGTCCCTTCGGTTTGTAGGTCTGAGAGGCATTAAAGTCAGTGATCATCGCTGGTGTTGGGTGGCGCCAGCGTGTCCACAACGATGATGTGCGTAGGCGAGTGCTAGGCAATGATACCCAAGCTAGTTCCTTAGAAGAACATGTAGTACTGAATAAGATGCGTTAGCTTTAGCATGTACTACCTATACTCTAGCACCGTTTACCAAGGAGTGCTTTGTTTTGTACGCCAGATGTTGGGCGGCCCAAGGGTCGAGGTGGGAGAAAG